TTTTAAGGGTTTCGAAAGAGATGACTTTAGCCAAGTTCTCCATTGAAATCGATACTTCCTTTCAGGCGCTACGATCTATACGACAAGGATCTTTCGGCCGCCATCTTGAAAAGAAGGAGCGGATAGTAATGTGGACTTAGGAGGATCATAGGATCATGACCTCTGAATTCGATTCTAAATTTCAAAAAAAGTACAGCAGTCTCGGAAAAAATTTACGAACGGCAGGTGGACACATTTTGTAAATTAGATTTTCGGGTTATGTGTATCCTGAAACGTAGTGTATATAGGTATGCCTGCGTCTAAGATTTTTTTTTTTTTTTTAAAGAACATTTTAATTCTATTTTTTTTTATTACTATTAATATTTTCTTCGCTCATTATGATATTTTATTTTGTTCTTATTTCGCTGTATATTATTTCGTAATTTATTTTTGATTTTGTAAATATAATGTTAATGTGCTATTTGAACTCTATTATAAGTGTCCTTAATTGAGAGAGATTGTAATATTTATCAGTGAACAAATAATCTAAAAATAAAAGTTATTGTCTATGAGTATTAAAACTTCCAGACTAGAAATAATTTCTAAACTCATTTTACAATAAATTAATTTATCTTTTGTGTATTTACACAACATAGGTTTCTGAATTCTGACATGCGCAGATGTGTGAATCATAAAGAGCTGTAATATGCCTCCGAAAGTAGGCCCATTTACAACATTACTAGTCAATAACTAAAACTCACTTATATTTTTAAGTAGGTATACATCATTTCCCATCCCTTAAGATTTATAGAGTTATTTGCGAAGTCAGTTTACTTTTTAAATTAAAATATTTCTTATTTAATTAAATAACCCAGTTATTAAATTACTAACAATCTATTTTCAATACATAACTTGTTTAAGTTCGTGCTCATATTGCTTTACAACACTCAAAGGATCTCTGTGAATAATTAATGTTATCGAAATTAAAAAACGCTACAATTGCTATCTCAAAACTCGTTATACAACTTTTATAAAATTAATTAAACACATTTTATTTAATCATGGACCGGTGTTTTTATCTCACATTATTTCAAAACACTCATGAAGCCTCAGAAAATAATTTAAGATATCAAACTTGAAAATATATCCAGCCATTTGCTCCAAAAATTGTTAACATTCCTTTTAGAAAATTGATTAAAAACATTATATTACACCAAGACTCAGCGTTTCAAGCTCACATCACAAGCTCGGTGATTGGTCCGAAAAGCCCACGGATTCTCACTGAATAATTTAAGAAATTAAACTTGGCAATCAGTCTTGCCGTTCTCTCAAAAAGTCGTTACACACCATTTAGCAAATTGATTACACAAATTTTATTCAATCACTGTCATCAATGTTTTTAGTCTAAATTGATTGAAAACACACTCTAATTATCGCACCGAATAATTAGAGCCATTAAGATATAAAATATAAAATTGATCCAGCCGTTCGTTCAAAAAATCGTTACAAGTTTTTAGCGGAAACCGCACTGTGGTCCATCATTCCAGTGGGCACTATCAACATTTATTTAATTGATGAATCAAAGGTATAATCATCAAATGATTATTTCTAAAATTTTATTTTATATATATATATATATATATATATATATATATATATATATATATATATATATATATATGTATATATACACATATATATACTTCTTTAACTTGGGTGAATTAAACATTCCTTGAAATAGAGACGAATATTTTTGAATGAATTATTTCTGAAATAATATTTTTTTTAAACTAATTTATTGACAAATATTACAATGTGTTTTAAGGACATGAAATAATTAACTCAAAGTTTAACTCTTTTATTTATTGCTTGGCTACTATTTATTTAAAAATTAAATTATTCTTCAAAAACATACAATAATAATTTTCAAAATAGCTGCAGTTCTGAAATAAATTCTAAGCCCCCAAAAAATTATATAGTCAAAATATATAATGATATATTTTGTAATTGTTATCGCCAACAGCTTCTTGCATCAAGAGGAAAAAAATCACAGTTGTGACAAACGACAATGATTTTATCGGAGCTATGATGGAAATTCTCTGTCACACCACCACTCGCGGAAAACGCAAACACCCGTGTCAGTTCGTAATAATATCTACCATTTTGTTATTAAGCGAACTGACTAAATTCAGTAACATGACTAAATTTGTTTCAGATGAATTAAGGCGGAATCGACAGGACCAGATTTTCCTTCACACAACGACCTCATAGAAAACAATAATAATAAAAAATATGGAAATTAACAATTAATTATTTATAGTTTATAATTTTCAATTTATTTTGAAACCTTAGTTGTTGTACTAAAAATGTTAATTTAGTTGATTGTGCATAAAAAAATGAGTAATTTTTTATTTAGTTATGTAGTTACTATCAAATAAAACACTGAATTCATCATAAAAATGTATGCAGCTTGTTTTCGAGAAAGTAAGTTATACATGTACATTATAAATGTTTCAAGGGGAAGACTTTAGCCAAGTTTCATTGAAATCTTTGAAGTCATATTGGCGCTACAGTCTAAAGCGAATCGCGTTTTTCGGCCGCCATTTTGAAATGAAAGGCCTGATGATAATGAAACGTAAACGAAACTCGTTGTTTCAAAACTTCAAAGAAATCGGTAAATAACTTTCGGAGATTAGCTGTTTTGAACAAACATGCTATTTAATATTTTTATTTATTGATAACACTAAATCCCACTAATAGATATTAAACAAAAAAAGAAGGAAGAAAATCAGTTGAATAATAGAGGAGAAATAGGGGCTGAACCGTTTTGTGTTTGCCTATTTATATAATGATTAGTTAAGGGGGAAAACAATGGGGGTTGAGCCTGATCTCGGAGAAATCCCATTCTTGTACAACCGTAGACCAATGAAAAGTCTTTCCCTTAAATAGTACTGAACCATAGACCCTATATGGGTTTTAGTAGTACAAGCTTCATTTTTTTTTTCGATTACTATTGCTCATTCAAAATTTTACTTTTCTTAAATTTTATATTTTTTGAGTTATGCACAAGTAAGGTCTATTTTTTTCTTAATATTTTTCCCTGACATGTACGTAAATCTCCCGCCTAGAGAAGACCATCTTTGAAATGATAGCTCAGTCGTTGCATTTTATGAAAATATTACGAAAATATTGCGTACCAACAGAAAAAAAAAAACACGTTTGTATATAAATAAAAATGTATATGTTAGATTGTTCAAAACTCCTAATCACCGACAGTTCATTGCCGATTCCTGATAATTTCTTTACCATCCGGTTTCTCATTTTAGAATCGCAAAAAAAAACTGTGTTGCTATAAAAAGATTTTTAGTGAAATTGTGTTTATGAAAACAATGTTTATAAAAGTTAGTTTGAGTTAATACATTGTAAAGGATTTATTAACAGGATAAGCGATTTTTTTTTTATAAAATGAGGGGAAAAAGGCTATTTGTGGAGATCGAAAAAAAAATGATATTTAATAAAGAATAACTACCCTTTGAGTTGTATACTATATACATTTGCAATAAACAAATGTATAAATAATGTTTATAATATCGAGGAAATTAAATTATTTTAACCATTATACATTGTATCAATGCTTTAATTCATTTTAATATCTCGATGACGTTTCAGGCAATTTTGCACGCTTTCAAGTCGAAAATTATATTTATAATATAGATAGCAATAATTATAAATATATTAGAAAAACAAATTATAACAGCACATAAAATGAATGAAATACAAATCTAAAATATCTCATCAATGAATTACATATCTTTACATACAATATGATTATATAATCCACAAAACCACAATTTTATATTGTTATTGGAAAAGATTTTTTCCTTGAAATTAAATTGTGATATTATATAATTCATAAATTCTTTATGACTAGTCAAATATAAAAAAAAAAACATCACAAGTAATAAAAGGCCAAAAAATCATCACATTAACATAACAAGCATATTAATTATTGTTTATTATATAATTTATCTGTGGATAGACAAACAATTAAAGTTGTGAAAAGAATTTCTAATGTTAAAACATTTTTATCTTATTTTAACAAAAGCTTAATGTCCACTGCCAGCTGTGTTGTGGAATATTATTTGGCTCATTGGGATTAACAGTAACGCATTATAAATGATTTTTTAAATAAAAAAGTTTCCTGTTTTAATAATAATTTATCTTCCTAATCTTCCTAATATCTGTTTTAAAATTAACTGCATTTTTAATATGCTTGTTATATAAATTCATTCCAAAAATTTTCTTATTTTACTACCCTCAGCACTATTCAAAATTTCTATTGTCTAATAATTTATAAATTACATTTTGTTTATGTTTAAATTAAACTGTTTGTTAAATTTATTATTATCATATGAACCAAAGTTTATATTATTGTGGTCATATTTTATGAATATATGTTTAATATTTTTAGTTATTGCTAGTATATATTTAACATTAAAATAATTGCCAGTAAAATAAGTCACTCGAGAAATGACGTAGGCGAAACCCCTAAAGAGCAGGGATAATTTAATATTCACTGAACAAATTATTGCGACATTAATGATGAATATATAACGGAGGACTCATCAAGACTTGAAAATGACCCTTAGTATGGCCGAAACGTCGTACTTAATTGCGTATCAATAAAATGTTGGCGATAATTGGCATAATTTATGTGAAAAATGAAAACTAGAGACACCAATATTAGGAAAAATGAATAGAAGAAATAAAATAATTCCATATTTGCACCATGTTTCCACGATATTATAAATTATAGTTCACCATCAGTTCAGTTTTCATTTATGGCGAATGCTTGTTATCGAGTTGGGTTCGTTTATCTTGAACAGCGTTTTCTTTTAATCATTGTTATTCATCAATCAAAATAATGAAAAGATTTTTCGAAGAACCAACTTTCAGCTCCTGAACAGAAGAGAACAGCAAATTTACCAAAACTTACGAAAGAACAAACTAAAAATGCTGCGAAGATCTTCGACATCATCAAGATGCTTCTTGAGAATGGAGCTGACACGGATCATTACTTTGAATACCCGAACATAGAACATTTTTCTGATTGGACGAAGTGTAAGAAGAGTGGGGTAGATCTAATTAAACCTGGGTACAGAGCGTTCAAAACTCATTTGTGTACTGAGTTCTGTTTAGTTCACTACCAGTTCAGTTTTCATTTTGAGCGAAAGCTTGTTCTCGTGTTGGGTTCGATTATCTTGAAAAGCATTTTCTTTTAATCATTGTTTTTTCGTAAATCAAATTAATGAAAGGATCTTTCGAAGAACCAACTTTCAGCACCTGAACAGAAGAGAACAGCAAATTTACCAAAACACACCAAGAACAAACTAAAAAAGCTGCGAAGGACTTCGATATCATCAAGATGCTTCTTCAGAATGGAGTTGACACGTATCATTGCTTTGAATACCCGAACAACGAACATTTTTCTGATTGGACGAAGTGTAAGAAGAGTGGAGTAGATCTAATTAAACCTGGGTACAGAGCATTAAAAACTCATTTGTGTGCTGAGTTCTGTTTAGTTCACTGCCAGTTCAGTTTTCGTTTTGAGCGAAAACTTGTTATCGAGTTGGGTTCGTTTATCTTGAAAAGCGTTTTCTTTTAATCATTGTTTTTTAGTAAATCAAAATAATGAAAGGATCTTTCGAAGAATCAACTTTCAGCTCCTGAACAGAAGAGGACAGCAAATTTACCAAAACACACCAAGAACAAACTAAAAAAGCTGCGAAGGACTTCGACATCATCAAGATGCTTCTTGAGAATGGAGCTGACACGGATTGTTACTTTGAATACCCGAACAAAGAACTTTTTTCTGATTGGACGAAGTGTATGAAGAGTGGGGTTAGATCTAATTAAACCTGGGTACAGAGCGTTCAAAACTCATTTGTGTACTGAGTTCTGTTTAGTTCACTACCAGTTCAGTTTTCATTTTGAGCGAAAGCTTGTTATCGAATTGGGTTCGTTTATCTTGAAAAGCGTTTTCTTTTAATCATTGTTTTTTCGTAAATCAAAATAATGAAAGGATCTTTCGAAGAACCTTCTTCCCGCGCTTGGGCAGAAGAGAAGAGGAAGTTTAACATACGAAGAACAAACTAAAAAGCTGTGAAGATCTTCGAGATCATCATGATGCTTCTTGAGAATGGAGTTGACACGGATCATTACTTTGAATACCCGAACAAAGTACATTTTTCTGATTGGACGAAGTGTAAGAAGAGTGGGGTAGATCTAATTAAACCTGGGTATGTAGCGTTCGAAACTCATTTGTGTACGGAATTATATCTAGTTCACTACCAGTCCAATTTTTATTTTGAGCAAAAGCTTGTTTTCGAGTTGGGTTCATTTTCTTGAAATACGTTTTCTTTTAATAATATTTTTTCGTAAATCAAAATAATGAAGAGATCTTTCGACGAACCAACGTTCAGCACCTGAACAGAGGAGAACACCAAATTTACCAAAACTTGCCAAGAACAAACCAAAAAAGCTGCGAAGGACTTCGACATCATCAAGATCGCGTTGGGTTCGTTTATCTTGAAAAGCGTTTTCTTTTAATCATTGTTTTTTCGTAAATCAAAATAATGAAGAGATCTTTCGACGAACCAACTTTCAGCACCTGAACAGAAGAGAACACCAAATTTACCAAAACTTGCCAAGAACAAACTAAAAAAGCTGCGAAGGACTTCGACATCATCAAGATGCTTCTTGAGAATGGAGCTGACATGGATCATTACTTTGAATGCCCGAACATAGAACATTTTTCTGATTGGACGAAGTGTAAGAAGTGTGGGGTAGATCTAATTAAACTTGGGCACGAAGCGTTCGAAACTCATTTGTGTACGGAATTATATCTAGTTCACTACCACTCCAGTTTTCATTTTGAGCAAAATCTTGTTTTCGAGTTGGGTTCGTTTATCTTGAACAGCGTTTTCTTTTAATCATTGTTTTTCGCAAATCAAAATAATGAAGAGATCTTTCGAAGAACCTTCTTTCAGCTCCTGGGCAGAAGAGAAGAGGAAGTTTAACTTACCAAGAACAAACTAAAAACCTGTGAATAACTTCGACATTATCAAAATGCTTCATGAGAATGGAGTTGACACGGATCATTACTTTGAATGTTTGTGGGATAATTCAATATACTTTTCGATTTTAGATGAATCGATTCTCGCTTACCTCCCCTCCCCCTCCATCTGCTATCTCTACTAGACTCCTCATTAGAGTCATATCACTGAAAAACTTTCTCAATATTTTTTGGAAAATCGTCGAATTTATTGAAGATGTCTTGTATATTAATGAAGAGCTGCCTTCGCGAACTGGAGCGAAAGAAAATACAAAAGCAAAATACCTATTAGCAAAACAATATATACAATTTCCGACGAATTGGATGATCCGGAACTATATAATATGTTTATATAACTGTATAAGATAATTGATATCATCAGATCAGCCTTGCAAAAGAGCAATTTCATTAATAAATTAAAAATATTATCACCATCCAGTAAAGATTATACATCAAGAAGAAAAATTGTTACTTTGAATTTCGATTGAATAAAAACTTTATGTAGTTTCTTAAACGATAAGGATCTACATAATTTTACTAGTACATTCAACCTTTGATAGTAACTTCGACTGATCTAGAAGTAATTCCAGCGACTCCAGAAGTCCAGCGAGTCCAGAAGTAAATGCAAAGAGTCCAGATGTACATCCATTTACAAGTAATGATCAACGTTCGCCACTCCCTGGTGGTAAGTTGAATTTCACTGTAAAAATTAAAATATATAAGAAAATGGAATCTTTAGTACATTAGCCCGGTACATTTAGTACATTTTAAATAAGATAAAGTAACTGTTTTAAAAAAAGTATCAGTTACATTCTTCTATTATATAAAAATTCGTTAACAGATCATATTTTATAAGATTAAAGAAAACACACGATATAGACAATTTTTTTATAAATAACTTGATGTACATTTTATTTTTAAATAAATATTATTCACAAAACTCTATGATATTATTTAATATTTAGTCCGTTGTACAGATCCCGTTTTTTTCGAATTATTAACATCCGGCTGAAACTTCGTACATAGTTTCATCTCATTGTAACGTAAAAATATTTTATTTCCGAAAAATCTTGGAATCGGGGCATTTTAAATCTGAAGGGGGGCAAAATTTGTCTATTTAATTAGGTTATAAAAACTCGTAAATACACATTTGATTTCTACTTGGATCAATAATTTGATCACAAAATCGAGAAAAAAATTGGCCTTAAAAAATGTTGAGCCGTTTGGAGTAACTTACACCTCCAATATTTCAAAATAACGATGTTATATAGGATAAAAGGCACAATATTTTTGTAGTCTATCTTTTTTATCGATTTCGTGATCAAATTATCTTACGATCCAAGTAGAAAGCAAATGTGTATTTACGAGTTTTTAATACCTAATTAAATTGACAAATTTTGCGCTCCTCCAGATTTAAAACGGCCCAATTCCAAGAATTTTCGTAAATAAAATAGCTGTATGTTACGATGAGACGAAACTATTTACGAAGTTTCAGGCAGATGTTAATAATTCCATAAAAAGGGGTCTGTACCACGGACTAATTTATTTTAATTATAGATATTCTTATGATATAATTTCAAATCAATTAATAATAGAGAGACTTAATGAATATTTTGGTTCAGTATTTTGTGCTTATATTGTTTCAAAAGTCATAGTCCATGGTACAGATCCTTTTCTATCAAATTACTAACATCTCTTGAAAATTCGTGAATAACTTTATTTCATCCTAACCTACAACTATTTTATTTACGAAAATCTCGGAATTGGGGAGTTTTCAATCTGGAGATTGCCAAACTTTGTCTATATAATTATATATTAAAAATTCATGGATACCCATTTGCCTTCCACATTAATAGTAAGATAATTTGATCACGAAATCGAGAAAAAAGGTTGCCTGCAAAAATATTGGGCAGTTGGGCTAAACGACCTTCTTATTTTGACATCTTAAAATTGGAGGTCACGCCAAACGGCTTAATATTTTTGTTGGAAACTTTTTTTTCTCAATTTTGTTATAAAGTTATCTTACGATCCAGTGGGAAGCAAATGGGTATTTCAGAGTTTTTTTACCTAATTAAATTTGACAATGTTTTCTTATCTAAATATTGAAAGTCTCAGTTTCAAGAATTTTCATAAATAAAAATTGTTGTAGTTTACGATGAAATGCAGTTATTCACGAAGTTTCAGGATGATGTTAATAATTTGATGAAAAAAGGTCTGTATAAAGCAATCCACTCAGAAATCGTTACAGCCTAAACACAAAACTCTCGCTTCGCATAGTCTTATATCAATCTACCATTTTGTTTTTTAGCTGACTAATGTAATATTACTAAATTAAAAAAAATGTTTCAGGTGAATATAGGCGGACTCCAAATGTCCATATTTTCCTTCCTCAAGCTACTTGTAGTACACAATATTAAGAACAAAAATACAAAATTTAGATAACTGTTATTTAGTATATATATATATATATATATATATATATATATATATATATATATATATATATATATATATATATATTTTCCCTTTCTTATGTACATATTGTGTGAATGAATACTACAGCACTAGTACCAATGCCCTTCAGTGTGGCAGACTGTATTAATACTCAATAAAAGTTAAAAAAAAAAAAAAATATATTTAGTTATAGTTTGTAATCTTGAATTTATTTTTTTCTTAATTATTTTGAATATGATTATTTGTATATATATAATTGTATAACTATTTATCTTATTTGTAAATTGTATATATTTATATTAGTTATTATATTTATAGTAAATTTTTAAATATAATGTTATGTCTTTTACTTTTTAACTATTTTGGAATATATTAAGTTTTATAGAAATATTGAAACTAATTTGATTAATTTTTTTTCACTGATTGAAAAGGAGAGAATACACCGGTTTTATCCAGAATTTTTTTGGGTGAATTTATTTTTTTTTTTGCATAGTAAGATTATTATTATTATCAATAAGATAATTATTGAATATTGTATTAGATAAGTTATAATGTATCATAAATTACAAAAAGCATAAGGTAGTGCTTCCAGTAAAGTTAGCACGTATTATTTCATATTTTTTAAGCTAGAAATTAAGAAAAACTTCTCACCTATTTTTATTATATATCGTTTTAATTTGTTTAAGAATGTCAATTAGTACCGCTTTGTAAAGCCGTTTAAGGTTATCATAAATTTGTGGTTGTTGACGAAATTTCAAAGGGTCCAACTTAAGCAAACATTTCATACAGAAACTTTAATTTTTCGATAGATTCGGATAACAATCCGACCATTGTTTATGTAATGATTTTTGTAGCTCTTGAAATATTTAATGATTTCAAATATATTTGTCTTGATATCTTTTGAATTTTACTTATTACACTTTTTTCAACAACATAATAGATAATGCTTTGATAATATTTTTGATTTAAGGAAATCTAAGTTTTTTTTTCTCAAGTTTTCACTAATTTTATAACTATTTCATTTAAGTACTAAATATATGTAGTGTTACAGTTATATAAATTTATATTTATATTTTAAAATAATTAGTTCGTATAACTAATTTATAATATTGATTATGAACTCTTTAAATATTTGCCTCTATGTAAGGGACATTATTGAATGAATTAATGGAAATAATTTTATTATTCTGGGACTAGTTTCCCTTTAGAACATGTTCAGAACATATATTATTATTCTGGTGTGTCTATAAAATACAATTAAATATTTACAGGATGATTAGGAATACAATAAAATTATAGATAATAAAATGATATAAAAAAGTGTATAAATATAAAACAAACAGAGAAAGTAAATTAAGCAAAATAAATTATTATACTATATTGGAAGTAGCAGTTGTTATTTAAGCATTAGTAATCTCTGTTATAAATTCTATTTCCATAATCTTCCAGCATCTTCAAGGAAAACAGTGCATTTTAAAGACAATTTAGAAATATACACCGGAATATACGGAGAGTAATGTCGATGAAGGAGGATCATGCTCGGGTGACCTCTGATTTTATATCAAAATTTGAAAAAAAAAATCGGTCCAGTAGTTTCGGAGAAAATGCGCGGACGGCGGACGGACAAAAAAAATTTTATTCGTTTTTCGAATTCTACGCCTCTTGAAACGTGAAACCTCAAATTTTGAGAGGGGGTTATGTTTTTGAATTTGTTGGTCGATCACAATACTTCATTATTGAAAATAATACACCAGAGAAGCTCAAAAAATCTCAGAAGAGTTATTAGCAGACACTAGCCCGTTGATAATTCAATCATATCAGCAAATAATTCATTATATCAAGAAAAAAAAATATACA